TTGTGCGATAAGACAAACTGAATGTTCTCCATTTACTCACGTACTGTTTGCACCTATGCTTCTACTCTCTCCCAGGAAGCCAATTAAACTCTAAGCTGTCTGCTTTAGACGTGTAATACAAGAGTATGCATTCATACATACTGACGTTCGTATGAACAGCATGTGCGACTACATTTCAGACAGCCTGTGTAACAAACGCCACAACCCCTCTAAACAAAATGGACATACAAAAACAATGTTGCCACGGTTATTATTAGGAAAAGGAAGTCACAGTAAGCATGGATCTGTATTCTCTTTTTCTGATCAAACCTTGGCAGAATAAAAGGGTCCAAGAACCATGACCACTTCAGTGATTGAAGTGGTCATGGTGCCTGGAGTCTGTATGTGCAGCGTTTTGCTTAGAAGAGATTAAGCCCTATGCTGCCAGAGTTGTAACTCCACATCCAGGAAAGAGTCACAGGGGTGTCATCAACCAACCTAGAACTGAAGTGCAAAGCTGATTTAATGTCATTTCACAGAATGTCAGTCAATGGCTGAGAAATGCAAGAAACTTGTCACTGGACCACCAGGGAGGATCGGAACCACCAGGGAGGCTGGGACCCAAGTAAGGGTGCACACCGCTGTTGTAGTGATTATGATGTACTACCAGTGTCATAACCACTACAGCAGGTTATAGTGGTTATGGTGATTGGAGTAACCCTTTAAAGTGTATCTGCCACTTTCAGGGGCCTTTGCAAACTGAAGGTGACATCTTACATGATGCGATCACACCAGCATTTCCAAATTGATGAGAACACAAATGGGGTTCCGCCAAAATTTTGTAAAACAAAATGGCTGCGGGCAGCGAGGGAGCACTCTCCCCGGCTCAGCTCCCTCGCATGCACAGCAGTGACGCTGGATCCAGAATATGACGTAACTCTGGCATCAGTAAGAGGCACGCGACGGAGTGGAGCAGGAAGATCACTGCTCCCTCGCCGCCCGCCAGCCACTCAGCAGCCTCACTGGACCCCAGGGACTGCAAGCCAGCCGCTCATCAGCCCTACTGGACCCCTGGGACTTCACACCAGCCGCTCAGCAGCCCCACTGGACCCCAGGGACTGCAAGCCAGCCGCTCAACAGCCCTACTGGACCCCAGGGACTTCACACCAGCCGCTCAGTGGACCCCAGGAACCGCACTCCCAGCCCAGCAGCCCCACTGGACCACAGGGACATAGAGACTCCATGCCAGTACTCCCAAAGGTAGGGAGTAGGGACATAAAGGGAATCAACACAGTAAAGGAGGAGTCTATATTTAAAAGAAGAAAAACTACCACAACAAGAGGACATAGTCTTAAATTAGAGGGGCAAAGGTTTAAAAATATCAGGAAGTATTACATTACTGAGAGGGTAGTGGATGCATGGAATAGCCTTCCAGCTGAAGTGGTAGAGGTTAACACAGTAAAGGAGTTTAAGCATGCGTGGAATAGCCATAAACCATAACTATGATAAGGCCTGGGACTAATGAAAGTATTTTTAAAAAATGGGCAGACTAGATGGGCTGAATGGTTCTTATCCGCCATCACATTCTATGTGTATCTGTTAGAGAGTTTGTATGTGTTTGTGTGTCTGTCAAAGAGTGTATGTGTGCTTGTCACACACATAAGCACATACAAACACAGATACACACCGGCACACACAAACACAGATACACACACCAGCACACACAGATCCATCCACACACACAGATCCACACTGTGTGTCAGTGTGTGTAACTGTGTGCCATTATGTTCCTTTGTGTGTGTATCTGCGTGTCAGATACATACACACACACAGATACACATTACACATTGAACTCAGATACACACCAGCACATACAAAAAACAGCACAATTTTCCCCCACGATGTTGATACACTATGTCAAAGGGTTCCACAGGAAAAATTAACTGGAAAACCCTGGATTACACTATCAATTTAATACAGGTGAATATGTGACTGGATTTCAGGCATCTACATTCCTGTCTAAAAATAAATACTATGGAGGCTTGACTAAGCAACATATAAAGTAGATATCATTTTATGTATAATGCTGCAAAGTATGGTGTGAATGGGTGTAAGAACCCCCCAAAAACCTGGCGGGGCAGATATTTAGTAGTAAAGTTTAATGACCCCCTTAACACTATAAAATAAATTAGGTCCAGGCATTCAGTATTGCTGCAGAAAGGCAGGTTTGTTGGAACAAAAAAGTGCGTTTTGGCCCACACAGAGGCCCTTATCAATATAGACATGCACACATCAACCTATGTGGTTTTGTACAATCAAAATTACACGCTATACTATATACTGTAAAATAAAAATAAAAAAAACCTACACTATCACTGTGGGATTTATTTTCTAAAAAGTGAATTGAAGTTTATTCTCTGAAAGGCTTCCCATTAAGAACAACAAATATATATTAAATAAAATTATCTGCCTAAAGAGGTTGTTTTATCGGATTCTATAGATCATTTATTTTTAAATAAGGCTTACATGCTTTTTTGAATAAATGGAATATTCAAGGATATAGTTGATATGAACGTTAACAGGTTCTTGATCCAAGGAGAAATCAGATTGTCATTATGGAGTCAAGAAGGATATTTTGCCCTTTTTGTGGCATCATTGGAAATGGCTAAATTGAGTTTTTTGCCTTCTTTTGTATCAACAGCATAAAAGAATGGGTTTCAGGGTTGAACTTAATGGACTTTTTTAAACCTAGACAACTATGTAAAAATGAAATTCACTGTGAATACTAAACACATTCCAGTAGACCAGTGAAGGTTAACCTTGAGACCATAAATTGTTTCAGGACTACATTTACCATGATGCTCAGCTAGCTTTTAGACTCTTAAAGCTAGTTGAGCATCAGGAAAATGTAGTTTTAAAAAGTTGCAAAAATGCTTGGAGTAGTAGGATAGTGGGAGTTGTAGCAGAAGAGTGCATTGTGAGAGTGGAGCAGCGGCATGATAGTGGGATTAGGAGTTGTCAGTTTAAGCAAGATAATGGGAGGTTGTGTAGAGTGAGCTGGTTCATGACAGTGGGAGTTATGGCTGAATACAGTTGAGGCAAAGTGGAATGGTGCAGGATAGTGGGAGTTGGAATGAAGATGTCTGCGGAAAGATTGTAAAAGATGATGTACAGTGGGAGTTGGGTTAAAGTGGGCTGAGGCAGGATTGTGAGAGTTGGAGTAGTATACTGGTAAATGGGGTTTGTGCCTGCTCCATAGTCAGCCCCTCACCCACAATTTTTGTCTGCCCAAATCCCCCACCCACCTCACTGGTATGATGGCTGAGCTAACAGCTACCACATCATCAATAAAGGGGGCAGGACATGACATATTAGCTTATCCCTGCACACAGTGTGTGGCTTCCTGCTGTGTGTGTGGATGGCTGTAAGATGCTGTCTCCAGTCTATACATCTGTAACTGAATGTGACAGTCCTCAAACTGACAAAAAAAAGTGGGACAACACCCACCGATTCCTTACACCATAGCCTACAATTGAAGATTATGCTAGCGCAGTGTACTAATAATCTTAATTTTAATAATGACAGGAGGCGAGTATTTGCATTAACTTTCTTTACTAGCTCCATAGCAGCAAAGAAAAAAATCATTAAAGAAAGAACCAATCAGAGTAGAACAGAGGATATATAAGTCCCAGCGTAGCCATCCATTTCCTCTTGACTACTGCGACATCACAAGATCCAAATGTAGTAAGAAGTCCGTAGTAACTTAATTCCAACTGTCATAACGAAATCCAACATGGTCATAACAATGGCCTCTTCAGCCTTTCCATCGTCCCTGTGGTTTGTCAAACTGAAAAGAGAGAGAGAGTAGTATCACTGATACGGGAATGACCAAGGAAAAAAAACCAATTGTCTGTAACGAATCAACTAGTTAATAAAGACGTCTAAAGTTCACCATACCAACTAGAGCAATAGCCCTATAATAAATATATCTGTATAAAAAGCTAATCCAAATAAATGAGTCCAGATAAAGAACCAATCTACTCCCACCAGGGCCGGACTGGGAGAAAAATTCGGCCCGGGCATTTTTTTAACACAGCGGCCCACTAAAAAGGGGGCGGGGCAGAGGAGGTGTGTTTTGTCATCACCAATGACAAACACGCCTCCTCTCAAAGTGAGCATGTTGGTTCAATGCTCTTCCAGGGCAGACCATGCGCAGAGCTCTGCTGAAGAGCTCTAGCATGAGAAAAAAGTCCTGTATTTGTTCTGCACAGTGCAAGCAAATTTAATAACATGCTTGCACTGTGTTTCCTTGCAACTTGTCTCTGGTGTCTCTATAAATGGATACCAGGAGACAAAAGGCCAGGAAAGAGTATTGTGCATGTGTTTGGAGCCTGCTTGTGGTATTGCATGTGTGTAGAGTGAGCTGGTCGTGGTGTGGTATTGTGTAATAAGGTCGGTTTTAGTCGTGTTGTGTTTGTGGTGTAATGTGATGCATATGTGGCTCAGGGACCCCCTCCCGCCCGGCTCTGGAAAGGGGTTAAAACTTACCTTTTTCCAGCGCCGGGCGGGGAGCTCTCCTCCTCCGATCCGCCCCGTCGGCTGAATGCGCACGCGCGGCAAGAGCTGCGCGCGCATTCAGCCGGTCGCATAGGAAAGCATTTATAATGCTTTCCTATGGACGCTTGCGTGCTCTCACTGTGATTTTCACAGTGAAAAGCACGGAAGCGCCTCTAGCGGCTGTCAATGAGACAGCTGCTAGAGGCTTTGGGGGAAGGCTTAACCCATTGATAAACTGCTATGTTTATAAAACAATGGGTTAACCCTAGAAGGACCTGGCACCAAGAGCACTTCATTAAGCAGAAGTGGTCTGGGTGGCTAGAGTGGTCCTTTAAGAGTGTAGTGTGTGTGTGTGTGTGTGTATATATATATATATATATATATATATTTGGAAGTATTGTGTATGTGTGTGGTGCAGTGTGTTGGGGGGGTTCTGTGTGTATGTGAGGGGTGCAGTATGTGTGTGTGTAAGGGTGCGGTGTGTGTGTGAGGGGTGCGGTGTGTGTGAGAGTGCCATGTGAGAGTGCCGTGTGTGAGTGATGGGTGTGAGAGTGCCGTGTGTGAGAGTGCTGTGTGAGAGTGCTGTGTGAGAGAGTGCTCTGTGAGAGTGCTGTGAGTGTGATGGGTGTGAGAGTGCTGTGAGAGAGTGCTGTGTGTGTGTGAGAGTGCTCTGTGAGAGTGCTGTGAGTGTGATGGTGTGAGTGCTGTGTGAGAGAGTGCTGTGTGTCATGGGTGTGAGAGTGCTGGGTGTGAGAGTGATGGGTGTGAGAGTGCTGTGTGTGATGGGTGTGAGAGTGCTGGGTGTGAGAGTGCTGTGTGTGATGGGTGTGAGAGTGATGGGTGTGAGAGTGCTGTGTGTGATGGGTGTGAGAGTGCTGTGTGTGATGGGTGTGAGAGTGCTGTATAAATGTTATTGTGTGTGTGTGTAGGGGGGGTAAATAAAAAAAAAAAAACAGTCATTATTCCCCCCCCCCTCCCTTCTTACCTTTAGCCTGGGAGGGGGGGTCCGGCACGCTGGCAGGCGGGGTGGAGCTGTTCCCTGGTGGTCCTCGTGGGTGAGTGAACTCTAGCCAGCATAGCCTGTGAGGCTAGAGTTCACTCTCGCGAGATCCGGTCGTTGCCATGGCAACGCGCCGGATCTCGCGAGAGGAACCCGGCGGAGCTGGAAATTAGAGCTCCGCCGGGTCCTCTCTCCAGCCTGGCTGGCTCCCTCCCTCCCTCCCTCCCTCCCCGCCGGCGGCCGCATGTGGGCCGGTCAGGGAGATCCTTGATCTCCCCACCGGCCCGTCGTGGAAAACAGCGGGGCCGGCGCTGGGAGAGTGCCGGCCCTGCATAGACCGGCAGGGGAGATCCTGGGACCTCCCCTGCCGGCCTCGGCCCCACGGACACCGTGGCCCACCGGGCATTTGCCCGGTGTGCCCGATGGCCAGTCCGGGCCTGACTCCCACCAACTACTTACCTCCATCTGGGCGGGGACTTCTATGAGAATGAAAAGGGTGGGAAATACTCGCCTCCTGTCATTATTAAAATTAAGATTATTAGTACACTGCGCTAGCATAATCTTCAATTTTATAACATGACAGGAGGCTTCGTATTTGCAGTTTTAACGCTTAGGTAGGAGAGCGAAAGCGGCATTAGACGACTGGCGGAAATAGAAGGTCCGAAAGGTAGATTCCCGGGACCAATCTGCCGTGTGTAGGATATCCGTCAGAGAGGCGCCTGCTAAAAATGCCGATGATGCCGCTGCCCCTCGAACGGAGTGTGCGCCAAATGAGGGGTCTACCCCGGCTAGAGTGAGAATCCATCTGACCCATCTGGCCAATGTGATGACCGAGACCGGGCCGTGTGGAGTCACATATGACACCAAGAGTTGTCGTGCGGACGGTGAGCGCAAGCCTTCCGTTGCTGACACGTAGGCTCGGAGGGTCCGGACCACGCATAGCTGGGGGTCCGAATTGAAAAACGGATAGAATACTGATGCTGTATTGGATTTATTACGTTGCGATATGTGGAACGTGACTCCTTCGGGTCCAATGGAGAAAGCGTCCTTATCGAAAGTCCGAACGTCCGCCACTCTCCGGAAGGACACCATGCACAACAGGAAGGTGAACTTCGCCGTCAGTTGTTTCAATGAGAGCTGGTCGTTGGGAGGCCAGTTCCTGAGGAAACGAAGGACTATCTCCACATCCCAGAGATGTTGGTATTTAGGTGCTGGTGGTCTCCTTAGTTTGATGCCCCGCAGCAGGCGGCATATTAGCGGATCCTGTCCGACTGCCCGTCCTTGAAACGGCACGTGCGCCGCCGAGATAGCTGACCTCGTGACATTTATGGTGCGGTATGACTTCCCATCCTCGAATAGGGTCGAGAGAAAATTCATGACCTCGGAAACAGGGGCTGTAAAGGGATCCAAGTCCCGTCCCACGCACCAACTGGTCCAAGTTCTCCATGCGGATAGATAGCTTCTCCGTGTTCCTGGGGCCCAGGAATCCCAAAGGAGGTCCTTAGCCGTTGACGATAACTCGTCGGTACGCCAGGCTCCCCTGAAAGAGTCCAGGCCACTAAGGTCAGACGGCCGTCCGACACCATCGGATGTGCGTTCCCCGCCGGGTCCCTGAGTAACCTGTTGTCGTTCGGTAGGAGGATCGGGTCCTGATAAGACATTTCGAGAAGGTCCGGGAACCAAGGCTGACTCGGCCAGAGGGGCGTCAGCAGGGTCAGTCGAACCCTTCGTCTGCAAAGGTGATTGAGAACTCTGGCAATCATGGCGAATGGGGGAAAGGCATATGCCCCTTGTTGTGGCCAGTGCTGAGTGAAGGCATCTACCGCTAAGCAATCCGGGTCCGGTAGCCAGCTGTAGAATTGCGGGACCTGACGGTTGTTTCGTGAGGCAAAAAGATCCAGTATGAAGGGTCCCTTCTGGTCCTGTAGGTGTGCGAATATTCGCGGATCCAGCTGCCAGTCGCTGGCATCCCTCCAATGACGGGAGTACCAATCCGCCGTGAGGTTCGTCTCCCCCGGCAGGTGCTCTGCCCGTAGTGAGATATTGCGCGGGAGGCAGTAGTCGAAGATTTCCTTCGTCAGATACGCCAGGGTTCTCGACCGGGTGCCCCCCAAGCGGTTGATGTATTGTACCGCGGATACATTGTCCATTCTTAACAGTATACAGCAATTGGACTGCCCTTTTGTGAGGCTGCGGATAGCAAAGGCGCCCGCTAGTAGTTCGAGGCAATTGATATGCATCGACAATTCCTGTGGTGTCCACGTGCCCCCTGTGGCCGTTTCTCCATCCGTGGCGCCCCATCCTAGGCGACTCGCGTCCGACTCTAGGATGAAGTCTGGTTGACTGCCGAATATGGCCCGACCATTCCAGGCCTGCATGCAGTGGAGCCACCACTGGAGTTCTTGGTATACTTCCTCCGACAGCGGGACCGGCTGGTTGTATGTGGGATTTTGGCGGAGGAGGCTGGCCTTCAGCCGTTGCATCGCTCGGTAGTGAAGGGGTCCCGGAAATATGGCTTGTATTGAAGATGATAAGAGACCCACAATCCGCGCCAGTTGGCGGAGCAGAATGGAATCCAATTTGAGAACCCTGCGGATCTCCTTCTTGATGGCCGTCACTTTGGCTGAGGGAAGATGTAGGGTGCAAGACCTGGAATCGATCTCGAAGCCCAGGAATTGGATTCGTTGAGCGGGCGTCATTGCGGATTTGGCCTTGTTGACAACGAAGCCCAAGGATTCTAACAGTCGCACTGTATACGTAGTGTGCCGGATGGCCAGTTCCTTTGTTCTGCAGAACAAGAGAATGTCGTCCAGGTAAATTATGCATCTGATCCCGCGTGTTCGGAGGTGGGAAACCACCGGTTTTAGCATCTTTGTGAAGCACCACGGTGCTGAGCTCAGTCCGAACGGAAGGCACGTGAATTGCCATGGTGTGCCGTTCCACAGGAAGCGGAGAAATGGGCGGCTGTCTTTGTGGATTGGAATTGTGAGATAAGCGTCCTTGAGGTCTAGCCGCGTAAACCAATCCTTTTCTTGGAGGAGATCCCGCAATAAATGGATGCCCTCCATTTTGAAGTGGCGGTAGGTCACGAACATGTTTAGCCCTCTCAAATTGATCACTGGCCGGAAATCCCCGGTCTTTTTGCGGACCAGGAACATGTTGCTGAAGAATCCTCCCCTTGTGTGCGCTGGTTCTATAGCGCCCTTTACGCGAAGCTCGCCATGTATGAGGCGAGTGTCCGCAGCCGAAAGACGCAAAGGATAAGGGGGAAACCTTTGAATGGGCTGTGATCGGAGTTCTATTTGATATCCTTGGACGGTCTGTAGCACCCAAGCGTCCGTGGACAGCTGGGCCCAATTCTGGGAAAAAAGTGAAACACGGCCTGCAATCACAGTTACAAGAGGTACCGAACAAAGGTGGTCTCTTACCTGTAGGGAATCGTGCACGGCCTCGTCCTCGACCGCCCCGTCCTCTGTCAGAACCCCTCTGGTAGTAGGGGAATGGTTGTTTGGCTCCGCTGCCTTGGTAACCTTGTTGAGGGAAGAATTGGTGCTGAAAGCCCATACGGGGGCCTGAAGGCCAGAAACGGCTGGCGGCACGGCCCCGCTGCCGACCAGCCCTTGAAAAAACACCCTTTGCGGAGGTACCTCGGAATACCTTACGCATAGACGTGCGGGCTCTACTCAAGGAGGTAAAGACGTTTACGTGCTTGTTCAATTCTTTCATAAAAGCTTCACCAAAGAGCTTGCCCTGTGCCTGTGGGCCCAATTCTTTGACCCCGAGGTCAACCAATTTGGGGTCGATACGAAAAAGTGCTGCCCGGCGCCGCTCCGTAGAGAGGGCCGCATTTGTATTACCGAGGAAACAAAAGCCCCTCTGGGCCCACTCTCGGATATCATGTGCCCATTCTCGTATCATATCTGCCGTGAAGGAGTCCGCTCTGGCGTATGCTTCGTCTGCCAGGTACATAACTCGGGCCAAAGGGCCCATTGTGTCTAGGAGTTTATCCTGAGCTCCTTTGAAACTCTTCTCAATCCCCCTCCGCGGGTCGCGGCCCCCTTGTTCCATAAAGGTCAGCATAAGCTGATCAAATTCCGGCGTATAGGCCACTTTATCTGGCAGGGTAGGTCTCGGGCACTCTGCCTCCATCCTCTTGCGGACGTGTTTTTCCAAAGGTTTCCTGATCCAAAAATGCATGAAGCGGAGGAGATGATCCGGAGGGGCCCACTCACTCGAACGAGGGTGGCGAATCTTCCTGGGATCAAACATTCTCTGGCCAGTGGAGTCCAGGAATATCTCCTGTTCCTGCGTGGCCGTGGCGGGGGGTTCCGCATCTCCTTTCTGCTGGGGCTCACCCAGAAATGTCTCGGTGACGTAGGCGTTGGAGCCCCAACCGCCTTCGTCCGAGTCGGAGGATTCAGCCTGCCACTCATCCAGAACGGAGAGAGAGTGGGGCACGTCTTGCTCCTCATCTGAGGAGACCTCCCCAGTGTACACGGGAGGTATCTGAGTAGTGCGTTTATCACGCTTCATAGGGGCCTTGCCTTTGAAGGCGGCTCTCTTGGAACCTTCGCCCTTCCAGTGGCGTTTCGCCGGGCGCTTCCTTTCTCTAGTGGAGTCCTCTGACTCATCAGAGTCTTCGTGAGCCTGGTGTGGCTTGTTAGACAGCGCGTTAG